GTGCTCCAAAGGGTGATGGGAGTCAAACTGCAAATACTGGTCTGTGTGTGTGGGTTTGCGGTACACCTCAGTTTGCAAATGTCCTCTATCAGAGACTGAGACCTCACAGTCCAAGAAAGCCAACTTGCCATTTTTTATATCTTCTCGTGTGAACTTGATGTGGTCAGTAAAATGTTGGACTTCCTGAGATTTAATTTTAACCCAGGTGTCGTCAACATACCTGAACCAATGACTTGGTGGTGTCCCTGAAAAGGACGTCAAGGCTCTCTTTTCTACCTCTTCCATGTACAGGTTGGCAACAATAGGAGAAACTGGAAACCCCATAGCACACCCATGTTTCTGCCTATAATATTGCTCCCCATATGTGAAGTAGGTGGACTGCAGGCACAGTTTCAAGAGTTGACATAGTTGTTCTGTGGAAAGCGTGGTCCTGTTGCTCAGAGTGGTGTCTGATTTTAATCTTAAACTGACCACCTCTACTGCATCATCAACAGGAATGCAGGTAAAGAGTGATGTGACATCAAAAGAGACCATTGTTTCATCAGTCTCCATGATGACATCCCTCACCTTATCCACAAAGTCCACGGTGTTCTGTATGTGGTGTTCTGAGCTGCCAACTAACATCCTACACAAAACAGGCTCTAGAGCAATGTGGATATCCTAACTGGGCCTTCCTGAAAGCAGAGAAGAAACCCAAACAGGACTCCAGTCAGCCATCAGGTGAAAAGCAGGAACCCAGACCCAGACCAGTGGCCATTCCGTATAATTCTGTAGAAACTGAGACGTTTATTTTCTAAACATAACGTCCCAGTGGCTTTTAAACCCCAAAATACATTACGGCAAAGACTGGTTCATCCCAAAGATCCAGTCCCCCGGCACAAACAGAGCAATGTTGTGTATGCTGTTCAGTGTCAGGAGGGCTGTGATCAGTCTTACATCGGGGAAACAAAACAGCCACTGGCCAAAAGGATGGCCCAGCACAGAAGATCAACATCATCAGGCCAGGACTCTGCGGTCTACACTCATCTCCAGGCCAGCGGTCACTCTTTCAGGGATGAAGATGTTCACATCCTGGACAGAGAGGAACGATGGTTTGAGAGAGGAGTAAAGGAGGCCATCTTTGTGAAAAGAAATCGTCCATCATTAAACAGGGGTGGAGGCCTCCGGGTTCAACTGTCCCCCTCTTACAATGCTGTGATTGCTAGTATCACTCAG